CCAAATCAGTGGTGGAAACGACAGACAAGGTTTCCCCATGAAGCAGAGCGTCTTGACCCACGGCCATGTCCGCCTGCTACTGAGTAAGGGACATTCCTGTTACAGACCAAGGAGAACTGGAGAAAGACTCTAAAGAAGATGATGTCCGTCAATATGTTGTAAGAAAGCCCTTAAATAAAGAAGGTAAGAAACCTAGGACCAAAGCACCCAAGATTCAGCATCTTGTGACTCCCTGTGTCCTGCAACACAAACGCCGGCATATTGCCCTCAAGAAACAACGTACTAAGAAAAATAAGGAAAAGGCAGCAGAATATGCTAAACTTTTGGCCAAGAGAATGAAGGAGGCTAAAGAAAAACTCCAAGAACAGATTGCGAAGAGACGCAGGCTGTCCTCTCTGAGAGCTTCTACTTCTAAGTCTGAATCCAGTCAAAAATAAGATTTTTATGAGAAAGAAATAAATAAGATCAGATCTAAAAAAAAAAAAAAAAAAGAATTGAAGCAATTCTTGGGACCAGCAGGTGGCATGGTGGTGAAAGTGCTGGACACTCCCACATGGCTAACCATGGTTCAATTCCTGGACTTGGTGACTTGCTTTCTCACTTCCCCTCTTCTTCTCTCTCACTCTGTGTGTCTCTCTCTGTCAAATTAAAAATAAAAAATGAATGAACAAATAAAATTTAATAAATAATTTTAAAAAGAATTGAAGCAATTCTAAATATTGATATGGATTGCACTGATTCTTTAAAGTCTTTTCATGCTTCAAACTTTAATGTAACTACTGGAAAGAAACATCATTTTCCATATTAGGATTGATGTGATTACTAGTACCTCATCCCTACGAACAATTTCTAGATAATGGATATAAATAGTTATAAATGTAGGGATTTTTCACAGGCTTCCAGAATCCAAAATAATCACTTGAAAAATGAAGGATTTGATTAACTATGCAGCTTTTTTTCTACATAAAACTAGTATTCAATTATTAGACCTAAAGAACTTCAAGGTCATCTAGTCCAATATTTTAATTTTACAAATGAAGAAACTGAGTCAAAAAGAAGTTTAAGGAATTTGCCTAATATATTTTCCATTTAAATTTTACCAAAGTCTAATTTACATCCAATTATATTCCCATAAAACTAAGTCTCATCAATTCCATATTTAACAATTAAAAACCAAAATCAATCAAATCTAAAATGCAATCATATAAAAGAGATTCATATATTAAATCATAAAAAATAGAACAGGTGATTAAACCAGGAGTCATTTGTTCAGCCATCTCCTTATCTGGAAACATAGTTCACATATCACGTGGTCTTAAGCCTTTATTTCTTCTAACAAAATCCTTTACACAAACTCATAATGACACAAAGTTGCGAAAATTTATATCCCCATTCTCCCTGATTAATTTATAGACTGAACATTATCACTTTTAATCATTTTATGAGACTGGTATTTTTATGGCCAGAAAAGGCCTCAAGGTTATCTTTTGCGTTATAGGATTTGTTCTCTAAGCTCTAGGAAGCTTAGGGCAAGAAAATAACTTACTCCTCCCAAACCTATATAAGGCTAATGACTGCAATAAAAGTCAGAAATCATTCAAGCAAAGACTTCTATCGATCAAATCCTATACACTCTTTTTGATCTGAATTTTTCTTGGCCTCTTCCCATAAACTTAAATGCTCTTACTACTTGGCTTAATTAACGCGTTCTACTGATTCACTTTCTGCTCTCTGACCATCATAGCCTCCTTTACATCACCTCTACTCAACCCTTAACTGTTAGAATGCCCCCTGGTCCTATCCTTGCCTACTTCCCTTCTCTATATGCTCTAACAGAGACTGTTAACAGAGCAGGTATGAATTTGGCAGAAATAATTAAATCTTTATTTTCAATAACCCCAAACTCAAATTCAGTATTCTTTTCGGTTATGAAGGTACACAATAAACGATGATAATATTGTAGTCACTATCATTCCCTAATTACTAAAAATCACAGATTTTTTATATCCTTGAAATTGCTTCAGAGATCTCAAAATATTACTTATAGTCATCATCTTCAAAAACATTGTGAGACAAAACCACCACATGAAAACATAATATAAGAAAGTACAAGAGTAAAGAAAAAAGTAAAGTTCTTTGAAAGCACAGGGAAGAAGTAACTCTCTTTAGGAGAGTTGAGTGTTTTATAGAAGTAACTATGACATTGGCCTTGAAAGATGAATAAAGGTTGCCCAGATTAAAAAAAAAAAAAAAAACAGGAGAGGCCTTTCAACAGCCAACAAAACAAACAGTATCTCAAGGACTCTGAGTTATGAAAGTGAAGGGTAAACAGTTCTGTTCCTTAGGAACACAGGATATGAGTGTTAAGGGAAGGGAAGGGAATGGAAGGGCAAAGGCAACAATAAAGCTGAGATGGTAAGTGGTGGAAATATTATGAAAGGCTTAGCTGTGCATGCTATGCTCAGACTTCCAGATCTTTTCCTACAGGCTATGATAAGCCACCAAAGGTTTCAAGCAGTGGAATTTTGCATCTGCATTTTTAAAATTTTCTTGTTTTATTTACATTTAATTACCATATATCATTGCTGCATACAAAATAAATCTTCCCAGCATAAATACAGTGCATATTGGTCCAGTCAAAAATATTACCATACACAGCATCATTACCATATAATTTTCCACTTTTGTGTCTGTTAAATGCTTTTCTTCTTTTTCCTCCTTGACTCCCTCCCTTGCACCCCCACTGCCCACCCTCTTCCCACATTGCATCCACAGTTGCTCTCCATGCCTTTATACCTTCCAATCTTTTAGTTTCTGTTATAGGGTACAGACATTTGGTATATATCAAGTGGAGACATACAATGCTTCTCTTTGAAAGTCTCGTTTGCTTTGCTTAGTAGTAAATCTTCAGTATTCATCCACTTCTCTATCAAATACCAGGGTCTCATAGTTTTTTATGGCTGAGTAGTATTCCATAGTGCCATACTTTTCAATCTATTTATCTGTTCTTGGATATTTGGGCTGATTCCATGTCTCAGCAATTCTGAAAAATGCTACAATAAACATGGATGTGTAAGTGTGTTTTCTACTGAGTATATTCCTATCTTTTGGGTAGATATCCAGGGGTAGAATGGCTGGATTGTATGGTAATTCTATTTGTAGGTTTTTGATGAACATCCATATTGTCCTCCACAGCGTCTGCATTAATTGGCAGTGTAGGAGAGTTTCTTGCATCTGCATTTCAGAATGGTAATGCTGGGCCAGTGGGTAGCCTAGTGATTAAGGAAGCTGGGTCCCACAAGGCCAATATCATGGTTTGAGTCCTGGACCTAATAGATGAAAAACATGCCAGGTTCATGTGTGTGCATGTCCAAAATCAAAAAAAAAAAAAAAAAGAGGGAGAAATGAAGAAGAAGGAATTGCAGTGTGACAATCCCCCACAGAGGGTGCTTTCTCATTTTCTCTGTTTCTCTCTTTCTCTGTCCAGTGAGTGTATGCATCCTTTGGCAAATTAATAATAGGAAAAAATAATTATTATTATATCAATATGGAGGAAAATCTTCTGGCATGGAGGCTAGTGAATAAAAGACTTGAAATAATTTAAGAAAGAGATGCAAAGTGTTGCCTTGGGAGATAGAGAGCAGTAAACATTAACAAGGGATTCATTTTGGGGGTTAGATGACAGAGTAATGATTTTGCCATTAACAAAAAGAGGGCATAAAGAAATGTGAGCACAAGCTCTTAATTCAAAATGAAGATTGCGGGGAACCAGCAGTTAGCACAATGGCTATGTCGCTGGACTCCCACGTAGTCAACCGCGGTTCGCGTCCCGGACCCAGTGGCTTAAAACTCTCGCCGGGCGCATGTGCATGCGTGCCCAAGATCCCAAGAGGAGAATGGAGGAGAAGGGGTTGTGGAGTGACCATCCCCCCAGGGGGGTGATTTCTCGTTTTCTGTCTCTATATATTCTATGTCTCTCTCTGTCTGGCGAGTGCACGTGCCCTATAGTGAAAATGAGAGAGTGTCATCAAAAGAAAAAACCTCCAAAAAAAAAAAAAAATGAAGATTGCGTACTTTGCAAATGCATTCAGTTTCATGCAGCAAAGGGCATGCTACCAGTGGCTTAACACAAATTTTTGTTTTTCTCATGATAAATATAGTGTTTTTTTCATTAGATGAGATTTCAAGTAGGCAGCTATTGGCATTTATTCAAAACTTGATAATATTTTTGTTAAACCAAAGAAAATATATGAATGGCAAATAAGCACATGAAAAGTGTTCAATATCTTTAGCCAATAGGATAATGCAAATTAAAACCAAGATGACATAGTACTATGCTTATACTAGAATTACTAAGATTCAAAAATTGCCATTCCAAATACTGGCAAATATGTGCAATATTTGTGCAATTACTGTTGATATGCATGCTAAGTGGTATAGCTACTTTGGAATATTGCTTGGCTATTTCTTATAAAGTTTTACAACATTAAATGTACGTTTACCACTTGACTAGGAATTTCTACTCTTGGTATTTATCTTGAAATTCATCTTCACACAAAAATCTGAACATAGATGTTTACAGTATCCCTACTCATATTTACCAAGAACTGGAAACAACCCATATATCCATCAGCCAGGGAAAAGATAAATTGTTGTATATCCATACAAAGGAATATTATTCAGCCACAAAAAGGAAAGTACTACTAAATACAACTTATTTATTATGCTAAGTGAAAAAAATTATATGAATGATTCCACTTATAAGATATTCTGAAAAGGCAAACCTAACATGACTGTAATTATATTAGGGGCTAGAGAGAGATCGACTACAAAGAAGCATGAGAAAATTAACCTTATGAGATGATAGGAATGTTCAACATGCTGATATGTCGGTGATTATATACCTGTATATATTATCAAAACTCATGTGTCCAAAACGGTGAATTCCACTGAATATAATTAGACTTCAGTGAACCTGATATTGAAAATAAGCTACATTTGTGCTCGCTTGGGTGGCATGTTTACTAAAATTGGAATGATACAGAGATTAGCATGGCCCCTGGGCCAGGATAACGTGCAAATTTGTGAATTGTTCCATATTTAAGTAAAAAAGAAAGTCAGATTACAAAATCATTGCTTATTTTCAAGAAAAATTTCCAATAAATGGTCTTTAGGACTAAGACACTGACATTAAAAATGAACATGGTGTTTAAGAAACAATATTTGGGGGTTGATATCAAATAATAACTTAATGGTCAGAATTCGCAACAGTACAAGATATGTTTTTTAGGTCTACGGTAAGTAGTCAATGGACTTGAAGTTTTTTTTTTTTCTCTTGATGGTTGTAACCAAAGATTTCCTTGTCTAATATATTTCAATTTCTAAGAAACTTTTACTTTCCAACTTTTGTTACTCTAGCAACTTCTCACTCAACTGTGTTATTTCATTATTTAAGTTGCACTTATTACTATATATATGGCATACTATAATATTTTACTTAATAAATTTATAATATATCATTATAGACTTACATTGTACTGTTCATCAAATATATGAAGGATGAAAAGGCTTTTATAAATCTGATTACATCCTCATATAATAGAATATAATACTGTGATTTTTAATTCCTATTTTACTACATAAAAATTAACTTTCAAGTAATGAAATTTATTACAGTAAATTTATGATAGATGATGATTGATAGGTAGAGAAATAGATACAGATAGACATCACAGTTTTTGGGTTAATGCAGTAGTTGAGAACTTTACATTCTTCAATCGCTAAAGTAATAATAATAATAATAAACAGCACTCTATCTATTTTTTAAATTTCCTGTATGCATTGCTAATGCTAACTATTCAACTTTTCTAATTATGTCAAAATGATATCTTAGAAGACAATGATTCTATTCATTATTAATTCAAAAACAGTATTGACTCAATAGAACTCCAGATTAGAACTTTCTACCCGTTTTTCGTGACAGAACCTTTAGCTCATGAATGCAAGTCTAAGATACAATCAGAAATAAGTTCAAGGACAATGATATTGCATTTTCTGGGTTAACACACACTGGATTTGTGAAGTCATCTTTGCCAGAGTTCTCACCCTCAGTCTTCTGAAAGACACACATGCCTGAGCACCGTTAAAAACACTAGCGATTCGTTCTCAGGTTAAATTTTTCTTCTACTTATGTGTGCATTTTGTCTGGGAGGTTTTGTCAAGTTCATCCTATGCGATTATTTCACTTCTGAGTCTGCCCACTTCCTTGCAGGCCTGGGGAAGATTCCCAAACAGAGGCTGCAAGCGTACCTCGAGATCCACTTTCTGACCTCTTCTCTACACTGTACATGACTGTTTAATTTCCTATTTAAGACAAATTAATTGTTGCATGCTCTAATGAGACTGCAAAGGCTCTCGCTCCAGTCCGTAAGCTTGGAAGAGGTTACACAGAGGTTGTCCAGATTGATGGTTCCAGGGAGAATGACCTGAAAATGAACTTTGGCTAAACTTTGCTCTTTGTGCATTTTGTAGTCTGTACTTGGAAAGTGGTGATTGTTTGCAGCAGACAATTTAAAACTTCAGCAAAGATTTTGTTTGGAGGTTAGCCTTTGGGAGGTTGGCAGTGGAACCTTTTGTCAATCTTTTCAATACCAGTTTTATCAATTGTTTGCCTTTTTTTATTTTTCTTTATTCCATGTTACATTTCAGGGTAGAAAGTATTAACTCAACTAAAAATGCTTTTTCCTCCTCTTCCTGTTAGAATCCATTTTTTAAGTTGTAATTTTTAAAATTAGATTTATTTTATGAGCAAGAGAAACACAGCAAAAGATAGTGAAATAGGCACTCTCAACAGGATTTCACACCATGATCCTCTCGCCAGGCTTTGCAGTCAGCTGGGATTATGGGCACACACACACATGCCTAGTGTGTACAGATCAACCTAAGAACTAAACCCCGATTTTACATATGGCTCCAGCATTGAGGAGCAGCATTATTACTGTTCCTGGCTTAGAACTGCTTTTTAACTTACTCTATTAGGTCATCAGGAAAGTCATGGCACATTTTTGCATTGAAAAATATTTTAAGGCTTTTCCAACAACCTAATACTATTGTTGTATAATACTCTTCACTTAAGAATTTTGATAAAATGCTTAGAGATATTATTAGTTCTGACAAGCAGCAGGCTATGTATTAAACCCATTTTACTGATTTGATAAAATTTATCTCTTGTTTATGTTGGCATGGAAGACAACTGTGTTTAAATCCTTAAACTGTGATTCTCAATACAAGACTACAATCTAGAGAGCCCTCTGAAACTAATTATTCATCAAAATGAATGTTTAAGAACTTCTTCCATTAATAAATCAGTACAAAGCAACAGGACATTCTGAAATAAATTATTCTGGCCAAGCCTACTCTGGCAGCTGGACTGACTTCTATGTGTTCTATCAAAGCACTTTATCTTTTGGAAAACATAAAACTACTTTCCATTTAATAAATAAAAATAACATAAAGTGTTTTGTGTTATATGTTTTTACCATGTTACCTCATGAGCAGATGATTAAATATCATGCTATTCTCGTAAAGAATCATGAATAAGAAGTGTTATCTCTCCTTCTGATAGATGGGAATATTGATCTGGGAAATGATTTAGATTATTTTATGAAATAATGGATTTGGAACAAGAAGTCAACATTTCTTATTTCCTGGCCACTCTTCATTTCTTTTCGTTCTTGCATCTATTATTTTCTCAAGCGACCTAGGAAATTTAGGTAGTGCCCAGCTATTCTCTTAGTCTCTCCATTGCACTAGATAAAAATAAACAAAGAAACAAACAAAACATGAAAGAGCCTTAACATGCCCTCTAAAAGTAATTGGGAAAAGAGTTTGCATGTATCTTTGTCATTAACTAGAGTCCCAAAATGTAGATGGGGTGGGGGAGGCATCACCAAAATCACTGTACACTTGCCACCAGACTGAAGTGGACATGAGAAACTCGGTCTTCTTTTAAAAGTCTGTATGTGCTCCTAATCTCAGCAGTTCCTGAGAAATTGGGTTGTTTCATCTTCTTAGGAACATTCTCCAGGTCTCAGCTGAATTGAGACATTTTTAATATCCTTTTAAAAGGTATCAGAGGCCCCACTGGGATACAGAGCAGATCAAAATTGCCTTTTTTTTTTTTTCCTTTTAGAGAGATTTTTGCTAGAGGGTGCATGTGCTTTCTGGAGAGACAGAAAGAAAGTAAGAAATCATCCCCAAGTGGGAATGGCCATGCCACAATCCCTCCTCCATTCTCCTCTTGGGATTTTGCGCATGCCTGGCCTGAGTTTCAAGCTGCCAGGTACAGGACTCAAACCTCAGTCAGCCATGTGGGAGTCTGTCACCTTAACCATTATGCCACCTGCTGGTCCCAAAATTGCCTTTTAAAATATCATCCCTTTGGGGCCAGTAGGTGGTGTGGTGGTTAAGGGTGCTGGACACCCACATGGCCAACCAGGTTTAAGACCCAAACCTGGCGGCTTGCTTTCTCATTTCCCCTCTTTCTCTTTCTCTCTGTCTCACACACGCACACACACACACACACACACACACACAGTTCCCTTGGTCAAATTAAAGAAATAATAAACAAAGTTAAATTAAAAAGTGTATATATATATATTTATATCATCCCTTCTAGTGCTATCGTGTACTCCTAAAGTCAGTCTGCTGAGCCCAATGACCAAGTGATTTGAGATTGCTGAATCACTTTCCCCGGTACTTCTCCATGTTTTTTGACTGGAGTTCTATAGTATCTACATGTCCTGCTCACTCTCAGTAGGGCAAAGAACAAGGAAGTCATCCTCCTAGGTGGTAGCCAGACAGCACCTACTCATCACTAAGACCAGACATAGAATAAAATGTCATGATGCAACCTTTAGTATCTCCTGAAATTACATTACCCTTGGGTAGATAGGGTTGAGGAAGAATGCTAATGGAATATCTATCAGTAATCTGACCTTTATGCCCTTTTTTTCCACATCTTGTCCAATGAAAATCCAGGATAAGGATTGAAAATGGAATTATGAATAGATGTAAGATAAAAGTCCTAGAAATAGAGAAATCTATTTTGATTGCCACTCCATTGACTATGTTTCTGCAATACTCTCCTTCACCTGAAAAAGCAATTGACTGAATGATCCATGATATATCAGCCCAATCTCCTAAGTCAAAAGCAAAAGCTGGAATGAAAGAAGCAGAAGCAGATTCTCTGATGAACAAAGGTGCTATGGGTTAATGTCAGAAATAAAAGTGGCAGAATAAGTTGGGAGAAAAATATAACTTCGGGATTTGGAGAGATATAATATATTTTAAACAGAATACCTTTCATACTTTGAGATGAGGCATCACCAGTTCATTGGGGGTCATTGTAAATCACATCAGATGGTACTAACTTGGCTCAGAGGCAAGAAATTGAGAGACAGCTATGATCAGGTGTTTATTGCGGTGTAGGATGATGGAGAAAATGGCAGTGCAATGGCCTGTTCTCAGGTGCTGCCATTCCTCACAGTTTTCACCTTTTTAAAATCTTCCCCTGAAGGGCAGTTTGATTTTAGTGATGTTGTTCTTATAAACTTTTTTTTAAGTCACTAGCTTATGTTTCGGTAGAAATTTAGGATGTGCCTCCACTGCTCCTACAGAACACTGGTGTAGACTCTGAAAATAAAATTGACAGCTCAATGCCTTTTGAGTGTTTCTTCCAAACTAAATTTTAAGTCAAAATTACCAGCTATCTGAATTCCCTAATTAGAGAGAGAGAGAGAGAGAGAGAGCTTGAGGTGCTCTGCAACCTTTTTCACTTGCCACTAGCCTGTTTCTTTCTTTTTAAGACCGCTTGGAGAGTAGAGCCATTATCAAGGCTAAGACCACAGTGCAAGAAACACTAGGCAAAAGCTAATTCCATTTCCTTCTATGATTAGTGTCCCTGAGCACAGGTCAGAAACAAATGGGAGTATAGCCTAGTGTTAAGTTAATTTCTTCATCACTAATAATTATAGTGAATTGGTTCTTAACTGTCAACTCTTACTATAATTTCGATTGATTCACTGCTAAGCGAAGAAAAAGTCT